TCGTCATTCAATAGTATTAGGTTCATATATCATATTCCTCATGTGTGTTTAGTGGTTTATCTGTTTTTTTATAAAAACACAAAAATGAAAATAATTTATTAATCAGTAATGATAATTTAGATTTTTTCTTTTGATTCAGTTGTATTAATAAAGAATTTGAAATCGATTTTGCTCAGATTAAGTAATGGTTATTAGATTTATTGTACTTGTTTTCAAGTCAGTGTAATTAGAATCCTTTTACTGATTGTTAAATAAGTAGTATAAGATTCATTATACTTGTTGCATAATAAAAATTAAAGAGAAACAACATTAGTTGATTATGTTATCAAGTGACCGAATAGTCATTAGTCGAATAGTGACCGAATAGTCATAATCGTAAAAAATTACTGCAAATTGTTCTATCTACGAAAATTTGAATAAATAGTTTTCAATAAATGCAATATGCCATAAATAAATATTCACTAGGAATTTCATTGAAATTTTTATTAGATACAATAAGTATAGTATTTCTCAATAATGATTGTCAGGGTCACGTGATGTAATAACACGCATTTTCTGATGTTGCGAGCTAAAAGCTTGATATTATAGATATATTCATTTTTTTTGTTTTGGGTTTTTGGACGATGGATGAAAAAGAATAATAAAATGGTGAATTAGTTTTTGTAGAATTTTGCGTTATTTCTTTTGTAAAAGGTTACGACTGACAATGATGACGTGATTTTTCATTCAATCCAATAAGTATTGTATTTCTCCGTAATAATGATGTGATTTTTTTATTAGATTCCATAAAATATTTCTCAGTAATGGTGACGTGAATTTTTATTAAAACCAATAAGTATAGTATAAGTCAATTTTACTAAGGCTAAGTAATGATTCTTAAATACAAATGTTAAGTAATTATTATTAGATACATTGCACTTGGTATTAAGTCAGTATTATTAGATTTATTGTACAAGTCAAATAAGACGAGTACACTGTACTCGCTTTATTTGCTTAAACGATTTGCTTACACGTCTTATTTGCTTACACGATTTGCTTACACATCTTATTTGTTTACATGAGTTTACATTGTAACAAAATCTGGATTAAATTACGACCTAATGCACCGGCACTTTTCGTGCAACATCCGTAAATCCATTTTTACCGTAAAATATGCCGCAAATTTTACAGTGAAATTTATTTAATTAGAATGATTCAAGGATTTTACTATAATTATTGCAGTAAAAACTACGGTATGTCAGATTCTTTGTTCCGTATCATGTTCCGGTAAAATATTCCGATCGAATTACAAATCCGGCAAATTTTATTGGATTCAATTGCATTAATCAGCAATTTTAAGTAGACTTATGTTATAATACATTAAGGATTCATTAAGGATTCATTAGTAATCACAACCAAGCTTTTTATTTGTTTCAATAAGTTTATTCGCTAGTACTGTTGACTCAGATTTATAATTTAGCAGGTATAATGATTAAAGTTGATTTGAATACTTATTTTTATTTTAATTTTAAAAGGAATTAATTATTTCTTGAACTTTTTTTATTAGATCAAATATATTATTATGCAATATTATACTGTAAAATGAAAGAAAAAATAATTATATATGTTTAAAAAATTACCAGAAAAAAAAATTATAATATAGTAAAATATTAACTTATAATTTTTGATCATATAAATGAAACATTTTTTGCGTTTAAGCACTGTTGAATGTTAAGAAAATTGTGCCAATTACTCATATAATCAGTAATATGAAGAATCTATCTGGAATTCAAAAGCCCCTGATGCCACACAAGGAAAACAATTCTGACAAAATTATCGTACTGAATAGTAATAACATTTCTGGTACGAAAAAAAAACATCATTCTGATAATAAAAACACAATATAAGATATTTAAATCATACATTGGATAATTTTTCCAACCGATAACGGATTCCGACTAATAATATGATAATGTTTTACCGGTCTGGTTTTCAGATTTCTAGTTATTATTATTTCTCATTAAGTAAAAAATTTGAAACTGAAAAGTGAATTTTACTGAACAGAAAGATTATATGTCATGTATGGTAAAAAAAAAAGAATAAAAGTATAAAAAAAGAAGTCAAAAGTATAGTCCAAACTACCATTCTAGTAGTTTTGACTACACTTTTTTTTCTCAGTGCATATGTCTAACAAATGAACTAATACAAGGAAATTTGTCGAAATGAAATATCACAAACGAAAGATCTATATATCACTTTTATATGTTTACTACTCAGTATTTAGGCTTAAAGACTATTTTAATTTTTATCACATATTATTGTTTATTGGATTTCAAAGGAATTGCGCTAAAAACTAAAAACTTTCAAATTATTATGTGTATGTTTTCATTATCATGAGATCACACACTTATTCTCCACACAATTTTGCCCCGGTTTAATGAACTTCTGCTTTCAGAATTCTGCAATTAAATTAACTTTTTTCCAGAAATAAAATGAAAGCAATTTTTCAGAGATTATGACGTCTTTAGATAAGTTTATGAAAATACAAAAGGGAAAAATTATTTTGTTTATTTATCAATTTCCCGTCTATCTTTAATTTTCTCAATTTAGAAAAATGTCAAAAACATATTTTTCCAAAATATATTTGTAAATTTTACAAGTGTACTTCTGTCTCTAGTCCTTTGGTATCTTTAGTTTTGTAGAAATTAATAACAGGAATCGGCTTATGATAAACATTTTAACATTTTTGTCCGAAAATGCAAGGAAAAGTTAGAAGGCCAAATTGTCAATAACTTTCTGAGACAGTCTTGACAAGTTAAACTGACAGTTGTGAAGTTAAACAAATTGAGTGTAAAATTAACATAATTAGAATATAATAATAACATAATCAAAATATAAAATTAATTATTATATAAAATCAAAACTAAAGAACGAAACATTTTAATCATTTTATCAATATCTCAAACATCAAATCCAACATTAAAATTCAAAAACCAGATGCCTCATTTGCATATTAATAGTTCAATAACTAGACATCGAGACTGTTCTAATTTTTATCACGTTTTCTTTATTGCCAAATCTAAACCCCAGTTGAACTGTATTGATCTACCAAAACAAAAATTGTATTAGTTAAGATGATTTACTTTTAAATTCTTTTCTGTATGCCGTCCTGATCATAACTAGATCACACACTCACCATTTAACCATTAATCACCACAGATAAAACTGAAAGTTAACATGATTGTCCCCCCATCGAACAACTAGGTCACAAAACAGACCTCACCAAAGTTTTCAGTGAAAAGATCTTTATAGAGATAATAAAAACAGTTCCCGCATAAATTATCGGACCAAGTTCAGGAAAGGGTATTCAAATCGTATCGGTGTGAAAGTGAACTAATGGGTCTCACTCACCCAAAAAGGCGTTTGGTTTCTTTTAACGTGTCTGAAATGTGTTCTTTAATGCAGGTTATTGATTCATTATGCGTTTGAAATCGATAACTACCTAATCAATCTTCTATCTATTTCAACATAAATCAAAATTGAAAGAGTTGTAATAGTCTCATTTATATTCCATTGTAGTCCGGAGAAAGTAAGTTTGAAACTAGTTTCGATTACATTAAGACATTTAATATTTACAATTCTGGGGGATTGGAAGCTTTAAATGTCTCATTCATTAATTTAAAAACTGATCCGCTTTTGTTTTTTGTTTTTTTAAATTTTGTTTCTAGGTGAATTCAGGCTAAAATCATGCCGCGACTTAGAATCTAGGCGAATTAAATGAAATAATAATATTTATTATTATTATTTTTACATATACTAGATTCAATCTTAATGTTAAGGATATCTGTTGTCCAGAAATAAGAAAACCTCTATTTAAATATTAGAAATCAAATAAGCGTAAATATTTGTATTAAATACGTATAACAACTATCAAGTAATTTTTGTAGTAGAACATCGCTAATTTGTATCCTAGTATTCCAAAATTAGGGATAATAACGGGGAACATTTTTGTTTCATTGCATGAGATTTTTTAATCGATCTTAGATACTTTCGTATTGCTGCTTTTAAATCTGAAATCAGTTTACAAGCAGCACTTTTTTAAAGTTTTACTCCATTTAAAGTAATAGTTTTAAGGAGTAGTAAAGTTTAGCCCATAGTTTTTTTTTAAGTTTAGGATATTTTAGTCCATTTTCTGCCTAAATTTCCAGTTTAAAATCGCAACACATATCAGGGTGTCACATAAATGTTGCAACAAACTGCTAGGGAAGTTAAACCACATAATTATGTCCGGAAGTGTCATCATACGCCACTAGGAGAGTCTCGTTATTATGAATTGTTTCTCTGTCTGCTTTTGAACAGTTCATAATAGGTTTAAATCTTAGTCACGTGCGACGGCATTTTCGAGCATGTATCCATATGCAATTTTAATCCTGATAATGCGTCCTCACTCCTCTAGACTCTCTGTCGCATTACATTGTCGCATTATTCTAATCTGTGGCATTATTCTTGCAAACCTTTGCGATATATAATGGTTTTAAACTTGTATATTTTAGCAAAATATAGGCTAAAAATGTCCTTTTACAAAATCTGTAGCTTAAGGAGAGTGCTACCCTTTGTGATATATAACGGTTTTAAACTTGTACATATTGACAAAATATAGACTAAAAATGTCCTTTTACAAAATCTGTAGCTTAAGGAGAGTGCTACCATTTGTGATAAATAACGGTTTTAAACTTGTACATTTTGGTAAAATATAGACTAAAAATGTCCCTTTACAAAATCTGTAGCTTAAGGAGGAAAACTTAAGGTCTTTGGTTAAAAGAAAATCAACTAAATCCACATTTTTTAAATTTAATATTCTTAATATATTCTAATATCCTTAATGTATTCTTAAATTAATGCATTTTTTGCAGAAAAAATTCATTCATCAAACCATTTCATAAACACAATGTGTTAATCGTCGTCATTTTCAAATACTTTTTTTAAAAAAATTACTATCAATAATCTTTTTTTTTTTTCAGATTTGGATTGAGTCAGGATGCTATTGCTCATGGTCTTCCTCAGATTGACACATCAAAGACGGCCATCAAAGAGATATGCCCCACCTTCCTCCAGCCAGTAAAATGCGAAATATCAAGGTACAGGACACTCAGCGGAATGTGCAACAATCTTGACAACCCATCATGGGGAAGTGCTCGATCTGCAATGATACGATTCATTCCTCCTAATTACGGAGATGGTAAGTTCTTCTCACATCATTATTAGATTTTTTAAAAAAAACGTGTAGGAATGTACACAGAGAAAGAAGTATGCTATTTATTTTTAAATGATGTTTAATTTATAAAAATTTAATTTCTTTCAAAATTAAATAAATGCTATCTAAAAAATAATAGCTTTTAACACGCAGAAATATTTTAATAAACAGAACAGTAAAGAGTAGTAAATTACGTGACTGGTAATAATCATCGCTGTCTGCTTCCGCAACGATATAATCGCTTTTTAGTGATGGGTGTGTTTAAGAGATAGGCAAACTATTCAAGAAATATTTTTTTTAACTATCACAAATTATGTCAACCGTTTTATTTCCAGCAACATTTCCGACAGTATTAGTTCAGGTTATAGTAGAGGGAAAATGAGAGCTACACTCCACTTTTAGGGTTAATGACCTCTCTTACCATAGTGCTATGGGATGAGCGTTCCATCCCACTTCTTCGGATAGATGAACTCTCGTCTATAGGATGAGCGCTACACCAACTATGAGAGTTCAATCCCACTGATAAGCTCTTAGAAGGGAAGACGTAGCACGCTCTTAAAGCAGCATGGTTTGGACTAAACAAATGCGTCTTATAAATCTCGGGTATTTATATCTTCACAACTATGGATGTATTTGAAAAATTTGATGCTAATTTTTCGAATCTGAAACATGTTTTAAATAAATTCTTTATTGCAAACAATTATAAGAAATTCGCAAAGTGTCCACCATTTTGTTAACTAAATATATGCTCTTTACGTCGCATGGTTTAGACCAGTGGTTCCCAACCTGGGGGCGATCGCCCCAAAGGGGGCGATAGAGCTTCTCAAGGGGGCGATAATCCTTAGGGGGGCGATCAGGGGGCGACGAGTACTCAAAAGTTAAAAATTGCTAATAATATTAATAATAAAAGCTATTTGAGATTGAAATTGAAAATATATATGAAACCTATGGTTCTGGTGTAGACAAAGAATTATGATAGTTAAAAATTTAAAAAAATTCATGTGCAGGATCGTTTTCGTCATACGTTTTGGTATCGCAGGCGGAAATCTGATAAGTCACTCTGTTCCTCTGAGCAATAATACTGTTTCCAGGCGTATTGATGAGATGGCCGCCGACGTTGAATCAAAACTCATCAAATTTCTGAAAGAAGGTAAATTTGCGTTGCAGATTGATGAATCAACTGTGATAGATAACAAAGCTGTTTTAGCTTACGTGAGATTCATAAATGAGAGTAAGGAGATTAACGAGGAAATGTTGTTTACAAGAACTTTGAACACAGATACAAAAGGATCGTCGATTTTTAAATTGGTCAAAGATTATTTTGAGGTAAAAGAAATTCCCCTCACAAATGTAAGTGCTTGTGC